ACGATCAGCTCCTTGGTCTTACTAACGTTGAGGGAGAGGTTGTTGCTCTGAAACCACACTGCCAGGTCACTGACCTCCTCCCTCCCTCCTCCCTGTAGGTTCTCAATACTGTGTTTGAGCTTATGTAAACCCAGTAAAAGCTTTTCTCTTTACTTTACAAACAGAATACCGGTATGTTCAGTCACACAGTCTTCTTTGTAAGAAGGACCAAGATCAAGTTTCAAGTTTTTTTGTGTCAAATGCACAAGCACAGTGAAATGCCTTTCTTAAATATTATAAACCCAACAATGCAATAATCAATAACAATGTAATACTGGAAAAAACATGAGAAATAAGAAGTATGAAGAGCACAATACATAAGTAAATAAGCATACTATATACAGGGTCAGTTCCGATACCATATCTACAATGTGCAGGGATACTGGAGTGATGGAGGTAGATATGTACAGTGCATTCGGAAAGTATTCAGACCCATTGACTTTTTCCATATTTTGTTACATTTACATTACATTTACATTTTAGTCATTTAGCAGACGCTCTTATCCAGAGCGACTTACAGTTAGTGAATACATTTTTTTTTTTTTTATACTGGCCCCCCGTGGGAATCGAACCCACAACCCTGGCGTTGCAAACGCCATGCTCTATCAACTGAGCTACATCCCTGCCGGCCATTCCCTCCCCTACCCTGGACGACGCTGGGCCAATTGTGCGCCGCCCATGAGTCTCCCGGTCGCGGCCGGCTGCGACAGAGCCTGGATTTGAACCAGGATCTCTAGTGGCACAGTTAGCACTGCGATGCAGTGCCTTAGACCACTGCGCCACTCATGAGTACTTACGTTACAGCCTTATTCTAAAATTACTTAAATAAAACATTTTCCTCATCAGACTACATACAATACCCCATAATGACAAAGCGAAAACAGGTTTTTAGAAATGTTTGCACATTTCTTAAAATAAGAAACAGAAATACCTAAGTATTTAGACCCTTTGCTATGAGACTCGAAATTGAGCTCAGGTGCATCCTGTTTCCATTGATCAATCTTGAGAAGTTTCTACAACGTGATTGGAGTCCACCTGTGGTAAATTCAATTGATTGGACATGATTTGGAAAGGCACACACCTGTCTATATAAGGTCCCACAGTTGACAGTGCATGTCAGAGCAAAAACCAAGCCATGAGGTCGAAGGAATTGTCCGTAGAGCTCCGAGACAGGATTGTGTCGAGGCACAGATCTGGGGAAGGGTACCAAAAAATGTCTGCAGCATTGAAGGTCCCCAAGAACACAGTGGCCGCCATCATTCTTAAATGGAAGAAGTTTGGAACCACCAAGACTCTTCCTAGAGCTGGCTGCCCAGCCAAACTGAGCAATTGGGGGAGAAGGGCCTTGATCAGGGAGGTGACCAAGAACCCGATGGCCACTCTGGCAGAGCTCCAGAGTTCCTCTGTGGAGATGGGAGAAACTTCCAGAAGGACAACCATCTCTACAGCACTCCACCAATCAGGCCTTTATGGTAGAGTGGCCAGACGGAAGCCAATCCTCAGTAAAAGGCACATGACAGCCCGCTTGGAGTTTGCCAACTGGCACCTAAAGACTCTCAGACCATGAGAAATAAGATTCTCTGGTCTGATGAGACCAAGATTGAACTCTTTGGCCTGAATGCAAACGTCACATCTGGAGGAAACCTGGCACCATCCCTACGGTGAAGCGTGGTGGTGGCAGCATCATGCTGTGGGGATGTTTTTCAGCGGCAGGGACTGGGAGACTAGTCAGGATTGAGGGAAATATGAACGGAGCAAAGTACAGAGAGATCCTTGACGAAAACCTGCTCCAGAGTGCTCAGATCCTCAGACTGGGGCGAAGGTTCACCTTCCAACAGGACAACGACCGTAAGCACATAGCCAAGACAACACAGGAGTGGCTTCGGGACAAGTATCTGAATGTCCTTGAGTGGCCCAGCCAGAGCCCGGACCTGAACCCGGTCGAACATCTCTGGAGAGACGTGAAAATAGCTGTGCAGCGACGCTCCCCATCCAACCTGACAGAGCTTGAGAGGATCTGCAGAGGAGAATGGGAGAAACTCCCCAAATACAGGTGTGCCAAGCTTGTAGCGTCATACCCAATTGTCGTGGAAATTCACATGGGACACTCAAAGTAAATCTTAAATGAATCAAATGAAACAAACCCCCCAAAAAATCCATTTTAATTCCAGGTTGTAAGGCAACAAAATAGGAAAAATGCCAAGAGGGGTGAATACTTTCGCAAGCCACTGTAGTTGTGTATGATGACCTCTTACGTAGTAGTGAGTGTTAATAGTCTTTGTTTTTCTACAAACATTACCGATTTTCTGACTCCGGTCAGAATACAGTGTGTTGTGTGTGTGTGGTTTTGCGTTATGGAAAGTTTTTAATGTTTTTGGTGATCTGTCTCGGGATCTTTCTCAGGGTTTTTATGTGTTTTCTTGATTGATATAGGAAGAGGACATGTGAAATTGCAAGATTCAAGTAATTTATTATGTGTTGGTGGTTGATTGATCAAAACTCAAGTCTTTAAAGATGTTGATAACCTTATCAGTGGTAGCTCAGTTGGTAAAGCATGGCGCTTGCAACACCAAAATTGTGGTTTCGATTCCCGGGACCAACCGTAAATTAAATGTATGCACGCATTACTGTAAATCGCTTTGGATAAAAGCGTCTGGGTCGTTCTTGAATTGCGGTGGCATTTGGTCATGGCATTTTGGAAATAATTAAAAAACTGTATTTGGGTACATCTTCCCATTCTAAATAAACTAGTATGGCAACGTAGCTCTTTCCACTCACACCCCCTGTCATCCCGTATACGGGTTGAAAATTGCAGATTTTGTCATTGTTAAGCTACTAAATTGGAACGCAGTGGCTGTACAGTAACATGCTATACATGATGTCGGCGCTAAGGTTCTCTGCTTCACAGCGCTGTATGAGATTTGACAAACAACAGTTAAAAACTTGAGCACCGAGCGCGGCAAGAAGATGCCCCCATCCCTACCGCTAATTGGGCTACTTTTGCACATTTGCACATTTGTTGTTGTCTGAATGAGGGAAATGATGTAAATGAGGAGTCTGTGTTCTGAAAGATGAGACGTTGAGGATTAAAATAAATACTACTTTGATGTCATACAAGCAAACCACACACCCATGAGTGAAAATTTGCATTTTACATTTCCATATTTGAAAACATGTTATTTACAGTATCAATGTTTTGGATTGCTATGTTTGATCCACAGATACAAGGATGACATGCGTTATACCCTGGGTTGTCCTGAAAAGAATGAGCCTATGTTTGTCATATTGTGAAGAAAATTAGTCTCAGAACACGCACTTGAATGCACTCAAAACTCCATTCTATGTGCACCAAATTTACAATCTGTTTGTCTGAAGTGCCTTTTGAAAGCCTAAGATCGTATTTTATAACTTAGCTAGCCATGTTGGCAATAGAATAAGCTTTCAAATGATGCCAACCTGACCCAGATCGCGATTTATAATGGAATGTTTTGGGATTGCGTAAACAACAACAGTAATTGTGTGATGGTGGGAACGCAGGGCTGTTTTCCAAACAAAAAACTACAAATGTGCTTGCTTCAGTTCCTCAATGTCAAAGCTAGGAGAGCTAAAAAAAAATAAGCACCTGAAAAGTACATTGAAATTACTTAAGAACTGTGCACAGTTTGGAGGTGTGTGGCCACATGGAGACACCAGTTGAACCTGTCACTCAAACCCTTCGTTTCTTCTCCAAAATGTCAATGAATATTATTATTATGATGTTACTGAATGTTTCCAGAGTATTTTTAGATTTCATTATTGACCAATTCTGTGAAAAGTACAATAAATGTAAAATCCACATCAAATCAACAGTGTAATGTTTGGATTCAGTCTTGTCAGGTGAACTGTTGTGTCCTCACCTTTGGTCTGATAAATTCCCCATAATCTCCAACGTTTTCTCTTTCAATTGCTACCATGGTCATGCATATACTTTTTATAGTTCCTCTGTTAGAAACATTTCAATTTGGCCCTATCCATATTGGCCAACTTCCACGAGTGTAAGGGGTTAATGACAGTGAATAATTTGTACCATTATGATAACATTGTGCCACCAGTTGGAGTAGTAACACCAATGATTGAAACACCAATGAGAAATTGGAGGTTATTGAGGATTTTCTTAAATGGAGCTCACAGATGCTCAAATCTAAGGTCATTAACCCTTTGAAAATAATTTACTTAGGTGATATGATTAAACATTTTGCTCACAATGTAATAATTTCCCTTCATTTAAATTGAGTAACATCAAGTGAGACTTTGGATTTAGACACCAAATTATCAATGGAATCCTCAAATTTATGACATACTAAAAGGGTGTGATTAGCAAAGATTTTCTTTAAAATAGACCCTTCCCCCGATAACAGTTTGCCACTGGAGGGAATGCTCAAGGTCTTTGTTTATCTTTGTAATGAGTGATTTTCAAGGCGGTAACACCAATGACACAAACATGAGGGACTAACATTATACTAGTAAAAAGCGATTGGTATTTTAATAGCCTTCTTTGTTTTTATTGATCTATACAATATATTAAATACTTTTTTCACTTTCTAGCTTTCAAAATAATAGATATCTCTAAAAATTGCATATATTATGGTTAGAGACTAAGACAGACATATGGTCTCTAGAATGTTGCTGTGCCGAATGTTTATAGATCAATAGGGAAGTGCTTTACACATGAACAGAAGAAGAACACATTTATCAGAAGTTGATAACCCTTCACTTGTCATCACATTTATGGTTTCCCTCAAGGCAGGATTTCTTACAATTGCTATACAATACTTTACTAGGCAATATGTGTATGTGTTTCCTTTCCAGTGCCTGCACTCTTTCACAACAATCTTTTTACTTCTGTGTTTTTCTTGGCTCTCTCCTCTGTCTCCTTGTGTTTTTCCACTCCCACCCCAATCTCTCTCTGCTCTGTGCATTTGCAGGCCCAGCAATACAGAGATTGTGTCATAAATTGATTGCGCCACACTAATTTATCCAGCCTTACCCTAGCACATCCTCCGGCCCTGTCTCCAGCTGCAGTGATGGGAGCATGTAGGAGAGTTTGGAGGTTGGGGGGCTGCGTCGGCCCTGTGTTGGCCTGGATCGGTGCACTGTTCCTGGGTTCCAGCTTGGCCCAGCCTCCCCCTGCCTCCTGTCCTACGGGAGTCCCTCCCTCGAACCTGAGCCAGCCCCAGTACCAGTCAATCCCAGGAGCAGACACAGGCTTCATGTCCGCTGTGGTCCAGTCCTTCCTCCACACCGTCCAGCCCAACCCCTTCCCCAAAGGTCAGTCTGGGGCTGAATTTGTCTGGTCAAATGTCGTGTACTACAGTATACAAAGGGAACAGGGTGCCATAGTCAAAAACAAAATAAGTGCACTGTGAAGGGAATATTGTGCCATTTTGGACATAGCCTAGTCTGACAGCGCTCCTTTTCTACAGCAGTCTTTTTATCATACTGACCTCATACTGACCTAGCCAGGTGTGTGTAGCCACTATGTAAATCCCATACAAATACCTGGGCTTCCACCAATTTGCAAATTTTGGAAATTGGTATAGAACTATAACGTTACACAATATTTTATTTCTAGGTTAACTGAGATTAGTTTCCATCTGGAAATGCGTTGTTTGCTCTACTCCTAACCGTCCCCAAAGATTTAAGCATGTGTGCCTATAGTGATGTGATAGGTTAAGCATTAGAGCTAACCGGCGCTCTTTAACCATAGAAACTGCTGACGAGGTTAGCTAATCAGTACGTTAATGGGAATGCCTTTAGTGTGTTGTGGGTCAGGCTGTCAATGGTTAACTACTGTAGTCAGATAAAAGTATTTGTGGATGGTGTGTTTCCTTTTATTTTGAAGTAGTGAGTGACTCATACACTTATGATTAAACCAGAAACCACACAGTAGAGCAACACTGTAGACCTGTGGACAATACTCCACTGTAGTTGTCTCACTGACAGAATCTGATTGCTTCATCTCCTTTGTTACCGTCTGTAGATTTCTTTATGAGTTCAGAGCTGGCTCAGTTTATCTATTGCTTCCTTGTTAGAGCCAGGATTGATTCTGTTTGACAAACAACAGTGAAGGTCCCTCAGGTACACACACACACACCCCAAGTTAATCAGCCACCAGGTGAAACTCGTCTTAGATCAGAGAGCTCTCATGTTGCTAAGCAGGTTGCTATGCACGGATTGGATTGTGATAGTCTCTTTGATCATGGCTTCTATCCAATCAGGGTTGGAGGTATTGTTGTAACTTAGTATTTCAACCATTTTTTGCTCATGTTTTGGTTTTATGTTTGTTGAGAACATTAATATTTGTCTGTTATTATGTGCCAGGCATTGAGCAGTTATTTAAACTTTATTAATATGACTTTTCTGAATCCAACTGTAAATACTGACTGATCCACTCTCTGTTCGAATCCTATCCGAAGACACTCTCCCTCTCTGTGTTTCTCTCTCACTCTCTCCTCAATCCCTCTCTCTCACTGTCTTTCTCTCTCTCAGTATCTCCCTCTCTCGCTCTCTCTCACTCGTTGAACATGGTGACAGTAGCCTGTTCTAAGCTTTATTTCTTTAGATTTATTGTACATTTTATTATTTAGGTTTTATCATCGAAACACATACAGAGACAAGTGATGGTGACACAGCTCTTCTGTAGTTGATTTATTCAACATGTGTGGTAGTCACCAACACACATTTGTGAAACAGTGAAGAAAAACACTCTTAAAAATGTGGTTTACACCACGCCCTGTTACTCTGTAACAGTTTTCACAATTCAATGCAACTTACCTAGTCCGTCAGCATTCACTAGACTGTGAATGGCTCTGTGTGAGAGAGAGACAGAAAGAGGGAGGGAGAAATGCAGAAATAGAGAGAGAATGTGAAAAATAAGACATTCCTCCTTCCCACCTAGACAATGATATAGCTCCTCTCAAGTTTCCCTTCAGAATGCCAGCCGGTGGTGATGAACAATAACCATAACTACCAGGTTTAGACAAGACAATGGAGGAGGAACCGTTCTTAATGTGTGGTTGGCTCAGGCCTTACAACCCTGGTGTGGTTACCCATGGTTTCCTGATCCTTAACTTAGGTTCTAAAGAACATACAGTGGGTTTGATTTCCTATCTCACTGTTGTCAGAGACTGGAGAGAGAGAGGAAGAGAGGGTGAGGGAGGGAGGAACGGAGGAGAGAGAGAGGGAGGAACGAACAAAGAGAGGGAGGGAATGAGAATGAGAGAGTTCAGAGGGTTGATGTGAAATGTGACACCCGATCTTCATACAGCCTGTGAAAGTGTGAACTCTGATCCTCTCACATGAACAAGCCAGAAGATGTTTATATGTTGAATATGTTTTTTTGTACTGATATCCAATCATTGTGGGTTGAATGATGACTGATTGTGTTGTGCTTGAGTGTATAGAAAAGAGAGAGGGAATGCCAATACGAACTGAAAATGTTCCCTTTCAGTCAGTCACTTGGTATGTCATACTATGGGGAGTCAACGATCAATCATATTCACCTGAAGAAAACTGAAATCACGTCAAACGTGCCAATGGATGCTGAGCCCGCCCTCGGAAGCCTTCCTGGCTATAACGCCGGGGCTCGCATACATTTCCTAAATTCCTAGATTCCGGGGATGATTTACTATCCCTGATAGCTCTGGAGGATTTTCAGAGTGTGAATCAGATGACATCAGTCCGGGGCAGCCTAAAGCCCTGGCTTTGGATTTGACGGGGGAGAGTGGACCGTTGGTGGCTAATGCGCCTTTGATAGAGCTGTGTTGTAGGGCGGCAGATCACCTGTGGATGGATTGGCCGTCTTCTTCCCCACAGCAGGGTTCCTCCAGGTTGGGGGAAGGTATTTACCTCCTGTCCCTGCAGCGGTGAAATGCCGCTTACCCCCATTTAAAGATTTAGCCGATGAGCTAAAGGCGACCTGGGATTCCCCTCATTCAGCCAGGCTGGTGCTACCAGGTTATGGCGAGTTCATGAACGTAGAGGGTATGGAGGAGACGGAGCTGATGGATGGAAAGCTGGCGAGTTACTTAGCTCCAGAGGCTAACAAGAGGGTTAATCCTGGCACGATGCTTCCGAATACATAGTGCTGGTTCTCGGCGGATCAGCTGGACAAAAGTGTACCACACTGAGGGTGTGGTAGCCCGGTCGTTGAATGTGGTCACAATGCTGCAGAAATATTATATCGATTTGCTGCAGGAGCTGAATAAGCCAGTTTCAGAGCTGGGGAAGCCAGTTTCGGTGCTACTGTTGATTATGTACTGCGTCTGTCCTGCTGTACTATCCTGGCTGTGGGGAGAAGTATGGGGGTGACGGTGGTGGCTCACCGCTACCTCTGGTTGACGTTGTCCCGGATTCCTGACGTGGACAGGCAGATGTATTTGGATGAGCCAGTTTCACCAACAAGGGCAACAGTGCTCCCAAGTGGCTCGGTCAATGGGGGCAAGTTACTGGTTTGCGAAGTCCACGAACCCGGTGTGGGCCGGGTATCAGAACGGCAGTACCACGAAAGCACATTGTTTCTACAAAAGGTTCCTCGGTGTTCAGGGGTATTAAGAGTGCGGTACCGTCCAGTTGTGGGAATAATAAACAGTTCCTTCCCCATGTTCAGACACACGGTTTTCAAGTAGTGGATATGAAAACAAGCATGACAAAAAATAGAATCCCAGTTCTCAGGGTGGTGCTCTGCCCCTTCAGGAGACAATGTATGGGAGACTGGCAGCGTGCTCCATCCAGTGGCCGGCATGCGCAGTTTCACCATGGGTGATGAGGACGGTGACAAGGGGGTACAGTCTGCAGTTCGCTGTGCGTCCTCCTTTTCGTAGCGTCATTATGTTAATGATCCCTGAAGTCCTAGCGCCTGTCTTGAGAGAGGAGATTTCTTCTCTGCTTCAAAAGCAGGCTATTTGGGTGGTCCCCGTCTCAGTTCCCAAGAGCGATGGAACGTTGAGTCCCATCCTGGACTTGCGTGTTTTAAAACAAGCACCTCAAGGTTTGCAAGTTCAAAATGCTAACACTTCGCTGGCTATTACAGTCGGTGGGTCCCAGCGATTGGTTTACGTACATAGATCTGAGGGATGGGTATTTTCATGTGGCTATACATCCTCCCAACAGAAAGGTTTCATTTCGAGAGGTTTCATTTCGAGGGTGTGGCGTACGAGTTTCTGGTCCTGCCTTTCGGGCTCTCCCTATTGCCCGCACCTTTTCTATGGTGGTGGAGGCGACTTTGGCACTGGTGCGGTGCCAGTGGATCAGAGTATTGGCCTATCTGGATGATTGGCTGGTCGCAGCGGAGTCGAGGGAACATGTGGAGCTCCACACTGCCACTCTGGTTTCCTATATTAAGTCTCTGGGGTACATAGTGAATCACAAGAAAAGTTGTTTGACTCCGGCTCAGTGCTTTCAGTGTCTGGATCTCATTCTGGACTCGGTTCTGAATCATGCGTTTATTGTCCCAACAAAGGAGGGTCGCATTCCGGCTCTGTCTGGCACGGTTTCAGCTGGGGCACTCTGTGCCTTTTCGCTTGTGCCTGCGGTTATTGGGTCTGGTGGCCTCCATGAAAGCTGTGGTACCTCTGGGACTTCTGTTGAGGCGTCTGTTTCAGCGCTGAGTGATTGCTACGCGTCTGGACGTATCTCGCCACTGCCATTGATTGCTCGAGGTATAACTGTCATGCATAAGGGAGTTGACTCCTTGGAGGGACCTGTGTTTGCTGTTGCAAGCGGTTCTCATGGGCTGGGTAGTGTGCCGCATGTTGATCACGACAGATGCATCCTTACTGGGATGAGGAGCGCTTTGTGTGGGCTACTCGGAAAGAGGGATTTGGTCAACAGCGCAAAGGGCGCTGCATATCAATTACCTAGAGCTACTGACTGTTTTGCTAGCACTGAGGCATTTCCTTCAAATGTTGGAGGGCCAGAATGTGTTGGTAAGGTCCGACAACAGGATGGCGGTGGCGTACATCAACTGGCAGGGGGGGACGTGGTCTCTCTCTCTCCTAAACCTGGCCTATTATTTGCTCGTATGGAGCAGTGCACATTTCCTGTCATTCAGGGCGACGTATCTTCCCGGATCTCTCAACATGGGTGCAGATCTACTTTCCAGGGGGGTCCTATCTACGGAGTGGAGACTGCACCCCTTGGTGGTTGCCCAGATATGGATCCGGTTCGGCAGGGCAGACGTAGATCTAGATCTTTAGGCATTGCATGAAAATGTGCATTGTCATCTGTTCTTCTCAATGAGGGATCTGGGCGCTCCGTTGGGAACAGATGCTTTGGCGTATCAGTGGCCTCGGACCCTGCTCTATACGTTCCTCCGGTGGACCTGATTCAGGCCACCGTGGAGAGTGTCTGTCAGGAGGGTCTGTCAGGAGGGTCTGTCCTACAAGACTGTCCTGCTTATGGCCTTGGTGTCGGACATGCGCGTTGGAGATTTAATACACCCCTTCCTGTTTGGAGTTCGTGCCTGGCGACTCCAAAGTGAGGTTATGTCCAAATGCAGCTTTTGCTCCCAAGGTTAAACCTATGTCTTACAGGTCCCTTGCTTTCGAGCTGTTCCCTGTCTCACCTCCTCTGTTTGCTTCCAGTGAACAACAGAGGTTGCATGGCCTGTGTCCGGTGCACGCTTTACTCACTAGCAGTATATGGATAGGACCAAGGACCGCATTTGTGACCAGCTTTTTGTCTGTTTTGCTAATCCAACTCGGGGTAGGGTGCTTTATTTTTGTTGTTGTTTAAAAAAAAAAAAATTGGGGGAGGGGGGGTTACAGGTAAAAAAAATAAAAAAAAAAATGCACACAAAAATAACCAATTTCTTTCTTTCTCTCTCTCCCTCTCCATCCCTCTCTCTTAGATTTGCTGGTTAATTTATTGGAGGGAAATGGTAATATATACGATGACAAAACGACCATTAAAGAGGTGAGAACAGATGAATGCTTCCTGTCCACATTACAGTCGATCTATTGTCCAGTGATATTTGACAGAGTGTGACGTCACATCGATCAACAATGACTCTTCATTGTTATAGATAGAAGATTGGTCTTGAAATTAATATGCAATGTTAATATATTAGAGCAAAGTGTCACCATCTTTCTCTTCACCAATGTTGAATCAGCTAACTTTTCTTCTTCTTATTATTTACACTCTGTTTATAATCCTGTATATCCTGGTGTTTCTGTTAATGTGTGTGTGTGTCTCTGCGTGTTAACTGTGTGTGAATCTCCTCAGGTCCTTCTCTATGAAGTTGGATTCCTAGTGTGTGCTGCTATAGGGATTGTATACATTATCCTGATGCCCCTGGTTGGGTTCTGCCTGGCCTGCTGTCGCTGCTGTGGACACTGTGGAGGACGCATGTACCAGAGACAGACTAAAGCTGTCCACTGTCACAGGAGAGGATTCTACTGGGCTACACTACTCACCACGCTAGTCATACTGTAAGTGTGCGCGCATATTTAAGCATTTGGATAAGACAAAACAAGCATTTTTGATATGAAGTGAAACAATGAAAACGAACTAACTTTTGTGTGCGTGTGTGTGTCCATGTATGTGTGCATGTGTGTGTAGTTCAGGGAACATCTGCATGTTCTTCAGCAACCAGTTTTTGAAAGTTAGTGTCGAGGACAGCTCTATAGAAGTCAACAAAACACTGGACAACCTCCAAACCTACCTCACAGCTGTCCCACAGGTGTGTGTGTGTGTGTGTGTGAGGACTTCCCTGTTATTTTCAGAAGGGAGTAGAAAACCTAAATGAGAAAGGAAGAAGGAAGACCAGTTTAGTTTCTAAAACATCATAGACGTGTCAATACAGACAGTTTTATAGATATACAGTGGGGTCTGAAATTGACACCCTTGATAAAGATTAGCAATAATTACTATAAAATAAATAATTCAAACACTGAGCTATAGAGTATGTGCAACAGGCAGCTGGTGGCACCTTAATTGGGGAGTACGGGCTCATAGTAATGGCTGGAACGGAATAAATGGAATGGTATCGAACAAATCAAACATGTTTTACATGTGGTTGATACCATTCCATTCACTCCATTCCACCCATTATTATGAGTTGTCCTCCCCTCAGCAGCCCTTGGTATGCTACATTTTTTGGGGAAATTATATTATTTTAAACTAATACAATTGCTCAGAGAAAGAGATTTTGTTTAACAAGTAATATTTTATTTTCTCAAAAAGGTAGGGGTGAAATTTATTGACACCCATAAAGATTATTAGAAATAAAGTAGTCAAAAGTTTAGAATTTGGCCCTATATTCCTAGGACGCAATGACTACATCAAGTGTGACTCTACAAGCTTGTCGGATGCATTTGCAGTTAGTTTTGGTTGTGTTTCAGATTATTTAGTGCCCATTAGAAATCAATGGTAAATATTGTATTGTGTTATTTTGGAGTCACTTTTATTGTAAATAAGAATATAATATGTTTCTAAACACTTTTACATTAATGTGGATGCTACCATGATTACGGACAATCCTAAACGAATCGTGAATAATGATGAGTGAGAAAATTACAGTGGGTCAAACATCATACCCCCAAAACATGCTAACCTCCCCTGTTATTGGCAATGGTGAGAGGTTAGCATGTCTTGGGGGATGATCTTTGACCCTCTGTCACACCATTAGTCTCCCATTCACCTTAGTGATTAACTGGCTGTCAAGCTTGCACTGTCAACACTTTTATCTGGTACAACAGAGGGAGAGGGACGCCGAGGGAGAAAGGTGGAAAAGGGCAGAGAGGATATATAGGGGGCGAGACTGGGGAGAAGGAGAGAGGACGAGAGGGAGAGAGGAAGAAGGGGGTTAGAGGGAGAAAGAGAGAACGATAAGGTAATGGTAGGGCAGGGTTGTGTTGTTAGAACAGGTAAATAATGTACTTTGGCTGTTGGTAGTGGCTTTGAAGTTTCAGTACATACTCTCAGTCTGTGTGCTATAATGTGTTTGAGGGAGTCTCCTCATGTTTGTGTCGTCTCCCCTGTGTCTAAGTGTGTCTGTCTTCTGTCTCGCCTCAGCAAATTGACAGTGTGCTGATAGAGAGTAATAAGACAGTGGATGAAGTCACCAGAAGCCTCAATAGTGAGTACCTGAGCTTCTAGTCACATAATGCATCACAAGTTCTGCAAAGGACAACCACACTGAAACAATTGTTATGCCAATCGTCGTTTTGACCCAGGAGAGACTAGCTGCCACCCACCATTTGGGAAACACCGGTCAACAATTACATATATGTCTACCTTCTCTCTCTCTCCTAGATATAGGTCCTCTGCTGGGCAGGGAGATCCAGAGAAGTCTAGAGGGCCCCCTGAACCATGCCCTGCAGTCTGTCAGCGATATGGCCAATGGTACAACTCCATCCTGTGTGTGTGTGTGTGTTTGTGTGTGTGTGTGTGTATTCCTCTTCTGATATTCTAACTAGTGTTTCTGTGTGTGTGCGCGCGCGCTTGTGTGTGTAGTGATTGTGTGTATATTCCTCTACTGATATAGTTGCATTTTTAATTCTCTACATGACTTGTTTAATAAAGCGCTTTTTAAAGTCTACTGACATTTGAATATGTGTGTATGTTGTATTTGTATCTAGTGGTGAACAGTACCAGTATCCTGCTGGTGAGGTTAGACTCTACTCTAACCCACTTCCAGTCTGATGTGGCTGTGGTCCAGGCTAACGTTAGCTCTGTCAGAGACCGCATCAACAGCACACTGAGAAACCCTAACTGTAATGAGTGCTCTGCCGATCAGTCAGAGCTACAGAAACTAACATTTGACACTGTCACTGTGAGTACAACTTTGTTTCGCGTCGCCGCCTCCATTCATTCTTCGCTCCTCCCCTCTCCTCTTTCCACTATTGAATGGCAATTCCACCCCAGTTATCCTCTGTGTCTTTTCATCCTACTGGTTTGTCCTCGATAAGGAAGGATTCAGGCCTTTTGTTAAACACAATCGAGCTGTACAGAAACACTTGGCTTTCTTGTGTGTGTGTGATTTTGGACAGTGTGTGGTGTGTGGTGGTGGACTGTGTTTTGAGGAAATTGCCTTGCAACAGAAGGAACACATTACTGGGTTAACGAGATCACTATGACACAGGGAAATTAGTTGTGTGGAAATGGCTCATGGTGTTGTCTTGTGATGTAAGGTTTCAACATGTTAGCTGACCTGACTAGTCCTTTCTTCTTCCTCCTCCTCCTCCTACTCCCACTGACACACTCTCTCCTCTCCACCCCCTCTCAAACAGGCTACCACAAATGAAGTGGTTTCGGGAAAATTACAGCTCATAATGCATGCTCAAACGCACACACACAAAACCAGACATTTCTGTCCAACAAAAGGCCTGAATAGTTACTTATTAAGAACAAATCAGGAGGAGGTAGAACAAACAGCCAAAAAAAGGACATTGAATAAGAGACCATGGTGTATGTTACTCTGATATGATTGTGGAGAATGGTGTCCTTTGTAATCATATAAATGTTGTTTTTAGATGTCAGTTTATTCTATTATACACAATGCAGTATTTCATTCACCCCTATCACTGTTCTACTTTGATAACAAGCATAAGGCTGGCAATACATAGCCTAGTAAAAATGTGAGTTTGTCAGCATAGTTGATAGTTCTGGCTTTGCTGCCCCCTGCTGCCAAAGCATAAGAATGACATTTACTGCAGAGAAGTCATTGAAGATTATGAGCTGTTTGCAACCTAAAGTGTGTGTGTGTGTGTGTTCCATAGATCCCCAGTCTGAGTGAGCTGCAGTCGGCTGTCGATAACGTCACCAAGGCTGATCTCAACTCTAAAGTGAAAGAGGTAACTAAATAGACACATTTTTGAAGACTATGTATTTCGATAGTTCCATATAGATGGTCTATGGATGCTAAGACTATCAATTAACTAGTGATTTTATATGCAATAAATGTTCAATATCCAAATGAAGTGTTTTGTGGATGTCATGCAAAGTAATCATACACAACGGCACCTTTCTTGCTGTGTCAGTATTGCGTACTGTATGCCGTTGTGGAAAACATGGTTATGAGTAGAAATAGGTCAGGTCAGTGACCACAGTTAATGTAACTCCGATTCATAATCAATGTAAGGTTAAGATAACCTCTGGATGAAAGGGAGTGAGTGTGTTTGTGTGAGAAAGAGCGAGAGGGAGAGAGAGAGACAGGGGAGCGAGAGAGAGAGAGAGATGGATTAGTGAAGTGTTACTGACATGACACAGTAGTATGCATGGTGCTGTTCTGAGGGGGAAATTGAGATCCATGCATGAAACTCCTAGGAGTGTTACTGAGGACGTTTCTGACTGTGTGTGTCAGGGAGAAGACTTCTTTGCCAGTATTCCCCAAAAAGTGACCAACGACACCAAGGATGTGGTACAGAGTGAGTATTCACCTTCAATGTCACTACTAACTGTTATAGGACTAGGACCCTCTACAACCACTGTGATTATTATTTCACCCTGCTGGTCATCTATGAACGTTTCAACATCTTGAAGTACGATCTGGCCTTAATGGCCATGTACTCTTATAATCTCCACCCGGCACAGCCAGAAGAGGACTGAACACCCCTCAGAGCCAGGTTCCTCTCTAGGTTTCTTCCTAGATTCCTGCCTTTCTAGGGAGATTTTCAGAGCCACCGTGCTTCTGCATTGCTTGCTGTTTGGGGTTTTAGGCTGGGTTTCTGTATAACCACTTTGTGGCATCTACTGATATAGAAATGGCTTTATAAATACATTTGATTCAGTTAAACTTCTATCTTGTATAGGTCATTATACACACCCACACTAACAAGACTCTGTATGTTTACTTGCCTTATAGCCACATCTTAACTAAATACCTTTAAAACTGACCTTGGATCAGTGTCTAGAGGTATATTCATCCTTCTCCCTCAGATGTGATGCAGCAGCTTGAAGACATCAAGAGACAGATCTTTGAGGTGAAGGGAAACATCCCTGTCTCTACCCTCAGCAACATCTCAGACACACTGGGAGAGGCTCAGAGATACATCAGCATGTACTCACCACAGGCAGAGAGGGTAGAGATGATCAGGTAATGAACATACACACACACACACATACAGTCGTGGTCAAAAGTTTTGAGAATGACACAAATACTAATTTTCACAAAAGTCTGTTGCCTCAGTTTTGATGATGGCAATTTGCATATACTCCAGAATGTCATGAAGAGTGATCGGATGAATTGCAATGAATTGCAAAGTCCCTCTTTGCCATGAAAATGAACTTAATCCCCAAAAAACATTTCCACTGCATTTCAGCCCTGCCACAAAAGGACCAGCTGCCATCATGTCAGTGATTCTCTCGTTAACACAGGTGAGAGTGTTGACGAGGACAAGGCTGGAGATCACTCTGTCATGCTGATTGAGTTATAATAACAGACTGGAAGCTTTAAAGGAGGGTGCTGCTTGAAATCATTGTTCTTCCTCTGTTAACCATGGTTACCTGCAAGGAAACACGTGCCGTCATCATTGCTTTGCACAAAAAAGGGCTTCACAGGCAAGGATATTGCTGCTAGTAAGATTGCACCTAAATCAACCATTTATCGGATCGTCAAGAACTTCAAGGAGAGAGGTTCAATTGTTGTGAAGAAGGCGTCAGGGCGCCCAAGAAAGTCCAGCAAGCGCCGGGACCGTCTCCTAAATTTGATTCAGCTGCGGGATCGGAGCACCACCAGTGCAGAGCTTGCTCAGGAATGGCAGCAGGCAGGTGTGAGTGCATATGCACGCACAGTGAGGCAAATACTTTTGGAGGATGGCCTGGTGTCAAGCAGGGCAGCAAAGAAGCCACTTCTCTCCAGGAAAAACATCAGGGACTGACTGATATTCTGCAAAAGGTACAAGGATTGGACTGCTGAGGACTGGGGTAAAGTAATTTTCTCTGATGAATCCCCTTTCCAATTGTTTGGGGCATCCGGAAAACACCTTGTCCGGAGAAGACAAGGTGAGCGCTACCATCAGTCCTGTGTCATGCCAACAGCAAAGCATCCTGAGACCATTCATGTGTGGGGTTGCTTCTCAGCCAAGGGAGTGGGCTCACTCACATTTTTGCCTAAGAACACAGCCATGAATAAAGAATGGTACCAACACATCCTCCGAGAGCAACTTCTCCCAACCATCCAAGAACAGTTTTGCCTTTTCCAGCATGATGGAGCACCTTGCCATAAGGCAAAAGTGATAACTAAGTGGCTCGGGGAACAAAACATCGACATTTTGGGTCCATGGCCAGGAAACTCCCCAGACCTTAATCCCATTGAGAACTTGTGGTCGATCCTCAAGAGGCGGGTGGACAAAATTCTGACAAACTCCAAGCATTGATTATGCAAGAATGGGCTGCCATCAGTCAGGATGTGGCCCAGAAGTTATTTGAAAGCATGCCAATGAGGATTGCAGAGGTCTTGAAAAAGAAGGGTCAACACTGCAAATATTGACTCTTTGCATAAACTTAATGTAATTGTCAATAAAAGCCTTTGACACTTATGGAATGCTTGTAATTATACTTCAGTATACCATAGTAACATCTGACAAAAATATCTCATAACACTGAAGCAGCGAACTTTGTGAAGACCAATACTTGTGTCATTCTCAAAACTTTTGACCACGACTGTACACACTGACAGGACTGAACAGATAAGATAAAAGATCCTCTGTTTTTTTCTCTCTAGGTGGGCTGTAGGTATTATCCTGAGCTGTGTAGTTCTCCTGGTTGTAGTGTGTAACCTCCTGGGTCTGTTTTTGGGTCCGGTGGGACTGAGCTCTAAAGACGTCCCAACAGAACGATCCAGCACTGCAGACTGTGGAGGAACCTTCCTCATGGCGTAAGTACTGTCATTGTGTGTGTGTGTGTGTGTGTGTGTGTGTGTGTATATATATGAGGATGGGCGTAAGTGACGCTTGTGCCCTTAACAATACATAATCTAGTAAAATAGTGATCTCAACGTATTTGTGTGTGTAGGGGTGCAGGGATAAGTTTCCTGTTTTCCTGGCTCCTCATGCTGGTGGTGTTACTACTATTTATACTGGGAGGGAATGTCTACACACTGGTGTGCCAGCCCTGGCGCAGTGGACAGCTACTACAGGTACACAAACACACACCTACACACACACTCTCATACATGCACACACACAATTCATTAATTGACTCACTGATTGATTGTGTGTCTCCCCCCTCCCCAGTTTGCTGACACTGCGGGCCTGATACATGGCTTCAATTTAGGAAAGACACTGGGCCTGAAGAGCAACCTGACTCTTACTGAAGTATACAAGTATGTAGAAACATTATAAAGGGTTATGCAAATTAAATATCTGCTTTCTGGTTATCTAAATGGTTATTATAAATCACTCTGGATAAGAGCGTCTGCTAAATGTAATTTTGTTTTTGTTCGGCTATTGTGCAATGTAATGATGTATTGTTGTGTGTTTGTAGTGAATGTGAACAGAACAGGCCTCTATGGACAACCCTCCATCTGTATGAGCTCATAGACCTCAATGATTTGCTCAACGTGTCCAAAGTACGATTCTATTGTTTCTACTCTATCATATATGGTTTCTACTCTATCACATATGGGTTTAACTTTTTCTATCACCATACACTGTCTATTGATAATCACTGGGAATCACTTTACATGGGTAGTTAGTTCCCAAATTAATCGTCTTATGTTTCCACTTCCAAATTGGTGTAAAGTCCATATTTTAAACCATCTGCTCTCCTGGGACAATGTTTCCTCTAGTCCTTCTAATTCGCTCTACCTCTCCCCTCCCAGTACACAGAAGAGATTCAGCAGCACTTTGACAGTAATGATATCAAACTGTCTACCATCACCCTGCTCACCCATGAGATACGCAAACAGCTACACAGCTTCTCTGCCATAGCCCATGATGTCGACTTCAGCTCTGTCAGACAGCAGGTACAAAGTGTGTGTGTGTGTACATCTGTGTGACCTTTGGTCTCTTATAGTTTGTATTGAATTTGAGTATATATCATATCATATCACATACCATAACTGTTTCTATATCTGTTTTTAGATCAACAATATTGCCAGCATTAATCTGAATGAAACAGCAGACAGGTTAGACAAACTTGCTGCTATTCAAGTGAGTAATAAAACATGTAACATTGTTCCAAATATATTCCCTCCCTTTGAGCACACTCAGTCTCTTCTCTATCATCATCGGAGACTGTGATCATCAGTGTGCACTGTGCATATGGACATTTGTAGAAAGGCAGTAATGTGAAGCATGTCCCACCGTCTCCCTCCAGCCTGATCGAGGTATTCAATTAGAGCTGACCCAGGAGACTACAGTCCTGAGAGAGATCCAGTTATACATTAACACTACCATCATCCCACAACTGGTATGTTTGACCAGCCTGGTGCTGTCGCTTTCTGCTCTGGACAACTTCAGCAAAATGTCCCATGCGTTTGGTTGTAATAAATATACAGCTATCTGGACTATCTATGACTATTTTATCAATTCTTAAGAGGTCATTATTCAGAGCAGAGTCATGTTGTATATACTGTCTGTCTTTTGTGTTTCAGACTCAGTTGAACTCCACCATAGTTGCCCTTAGTGTCATAGCATCACATATCAATGTAAGTATACTGCAGAATGTTCAGAAAGCATGAGCAGCAAGTGTTCTTTCATTAAACTATGTCATAATGTAGCTATGCAATGCCTGCTCATCCTTCTCTTTCTCCCTCCCTCTCTCCTTTAGCGCACATTAGGAGATGTGTTGAGTAAAGTGGGAACAGCTCAAGACTTCCTCAACACTAACACTTCACAGATAGTCAAGGCTGTGAGTAACCACACACAAGCACATCTCATCACGGAAAATACTTTACAACCAGAAAATGACATCATAATGACTTCACATTCCACATTTACCGCACTGGGTTTCTTTTCTAGAAAGATAAACCATTTCATCTGGTTCATGACTTCTAGTGTTCTGTACAGTGAAGAGGGAGAGATGAGTTCTGATGAGTGTGACAAACACAGCTCTCTGTCTGCCTTAGCCTGTAGCACCACAGCCATTACTCACACACGGCCCACTTCACATAGTTACAGGAAATTCCACCTGATTCTCTGCTGCAAAGCTCCACTGAATCTCATGGCTTACACTTGTCTCTCTCTCTCTCTGTCTCAGGAGAGTAAGGAGTTCCTGGACTGTCAGATGGGGTACTTCATGGCGTATGCTGACTGGGCTAACCTCACAGTGGGTTCACTTAGTGTACTACTATTACTGTATCACTGCATTACTCTACCGAGTGTGTGTGTCTGGTTTCATTGTAGGTTCCTATGTTTGCGTGTGTGGTTTAGCCTCAGCCATATGTGTAATAATGTGGGGTTGTGGTTGATCATCTTGTGTTGACACACAGCCTGGGTTTTAGGCTGGGTATCTGTAAAGCACTTTGTGACAACTTCTGATATGAAAAGGGCTTTATAAAATACATTTGATTGATACATTTGATTGATTGACACTCTTCTGTGTGTGTGTATGTAGATCACTCAACAGGTTGGTCTCTGTGGCCCAGTGGCAAAAGCTGTGGACTCAGCTGAGGTTATAGTCTGCTCAAACATGGTGCAATCTCTGGTGAGAAAACTATTACACACACAGAGAGAAAATGATTCACTGTGCTAATTTAACATTGTTTATTAACCTAAATGTGTGTGTGTGTGTGTGTTTGTCCAGAATGCATTCTGGTTCAGTCTGGGCTGGTGTATGATCTTCTTTGTCCCCAGCATCATCTTCTCCATCAATCTGGCCAAATTCTACAGGAGGATGAAGCATAGTGATGTCTATGAGTGAGTAGCTAACATATGTACACAAATATTTACACACATACAGTTGAAGTCAGAAGTTTACATACACTTAGGTTGAAGTCATTAAAACTCGTTTTTCAACCACTCCACAAATTTCTTGTTAACAAACTATAGTTTTGGCAAGTCGGTTAGGACAATTTGTGCATGACACAAGTAATTTTTTCAACAATTGTTTACAGACAGATTATTTCACTTATAATTCACTGTATCACAATTCCAGTGGGTCAGAAGTTTACATACGGTAGGTTGACTGTGCCTTTAAACAACTTGGAAAATTCCAGAAAATTATGTCATGGCTTTAGAAGCTTCTAATAGGCTAATTGACATAATTTGAGTCAATTGGAGGTGTACCTGTGGATGTATTTCAAGGCCTACCTTCAAACCCAGTACCTCTTTGCTTGACATCATGGGAAAATCAGATGAAATCAGACAAGACCTCAGAAACAAAATTGTAGACCTTGGGAGTAATTTCCAAACGCCTAAAGGTACCACGTTCATCTGTACAAACAATAGTACGCAAGTATAAACACCATGGGACCACGCAGCCATCATACCGCTCAGGAAGGAGATGCGTTCTGTCTCCTAGAGATGAACGTACTTTGGTGCGAAAAGTGCAAATCAATCCCAGAACAACAGCAAAGGACCTTGTGAAGATGCTGGAGGAAACAGCTACAAAAGTATCTATATCCACAGTAAAACGTGTCCTATATCGACATAACCTGAAAGGCTGCTCAGCAAGGAAGAAGCCACTGCTCCAAAACCGCCATAAAAAAGCCAGACTACGGTTTAGCGCACATTAGGAGATGTGTTGAGTAAAGTGGGAACAGCTCAAGACTTCCTCAACACTAACACTTCACAGATAGTCAAGGCTGTGAGTAACCACACACAAGCACATCTCATCACATGGGGACAAAGATTGTACATTTTGGAGAAATGTCCTCTGGTCTGATGAAACAAAAATAGAACTGTTTGGCCATAATGACCATCGTTATGTTTGGTGGAAAAGGGGGGTTGCTTGCAAGCCAAAGAACACCATCCCAACCGTGAAGCACAGGGGTGGCAGCATCATGCTGTGGGGGTGCTTTGCTGCAGGAGGGACTGGTGCACTTCACAAAATAGATGGCATCATGAGGAAGGAAAATGATGTGGATATATTGAAGCAACATCTCAAGACATCAGTCAGGAAGTTAAAGCTTGGTCGCAAATGGGTCTTCCAAATGGACAATGACCCCAAGCATACTTCCAAAGTTGTGGCAAAATGGCTTAAGGACAACAAAGTCAAGGTATTGGAGTGGCCATCACAAAGCCCTGACCTCAATCCTATAGAAAATTTGTGGGCAGAACTGAAAAAGCGTGTGCGAGCAAGGAGGCCTACAAACCTGACTCAGTTACACCAGCTCTGTCAGGAGGAATGGGCCAAAATTCATTCAACTTATTGTGGGAAGCTTGTGGAAAGCTACCCGAAATGTTTGACCCAAGTTAAACAATTTAAAGGCAATGCTACCAAATACTAATTGAGTGTATGTCTTTCCTAATGTGATGAAATAAATAAAAGCTCTACTATTATTCTGACATTTCACATTCTTAAAATAAAGTGGTGATCCTAACTGACCTAAGACAGGGAATATTTACTAGGATTAAATGTCAGGAATTGTGAAAAACTGAGTTTAAATGTATTTGGCTAAGGTGTATGTAAACTTCCGACTTCAACTGTACATCCAATGATTGTACTTAGGTACTGGGCGGGCCCCATATCTCCCCCCATATCATATCATCTTATCTTTTTATTCAATACGATATAAAAGGCTAAACTGATCCTTTGTCAGCACTCCTACTTTGAGACTCTTTGTGAATACGGGCCCAGGACACTATGACTGATCGAGACGTTGTTGCAATAAAGGTGGTATGGGAATGATATACAATCTCTTTTTGTCTTGTCTCATCTCTCTCCCCACAGCAACCACATAGCCATGAACACCATCCCCCGAGCCCAAGTCAAACCCTACTGAGTTGGGGGAAAGAGGACTGGCCAGGACTGTTACTGCTCTCAGGGACTACAACCATGATTCTGCCACAACTCCCTGACAGAGGATCATGGAACATGCCAAACAGAACTCTGTCACCCTCATAGAAATCAAATGATTGTCACTACCAGGACTCTGCCACCCCTACCTAAAGCTACCACATGGAACATTCCAACCAGGACTAAATACAATCACATGGTGTATTTCAATAAGGAAGTGGTACGTTCCCTCATTGGTGGACTGAAACGGAGGAGCGATCTCACACTCACGTAATGGACAGAGTAACTGTTTTCTGGAGACGCCATATGCGCCACACATGTACCACATATTTCCATGCAGTGTGTCAGGAATTAAAGGACAAATTCTTAATGTCTGCAGTACACACACACACTGAGGAATACACAGAGTTCCTCTCAGGAGTGATGCAGGATCAAATGCAGGGCAAAAAGGAATCTACATAAACTCAACATTTCCCATGATATCTAATGGATTCACTGTATGTATATAACGCTACTGTATGTTTTCAACCAGTATTTGGTTTGAATGTACCATAAAGAACATCACTGGTATTTTAGTATTTTAAATGATTTCGATATGGAAAATGGGACTAACCCTACTAGTATCACCTGGATAATGTATATATGATAAATCAAATAGGGTAGGTATTCAACATAACGTTTATTATCATTTCATTGTGTTATCTACAATGTCATTGTGAGGTTCTTTTTAGTCTTTTTATTTTAATATAGATATATTCTTCTAATGAATTATATTGACTGAAATATGTGATTCTGCTATGATAACATTTTGTGCCAGACAATGAGTAGGATGTTTGTATATGTTACGAAGCACTTTTAGGTCTGTTTATATAGAAACAACATTTCTGAGCATTGTGCAAACTACTGTAATTAAAGATGTGCTACTTTCTCAAATGTATTACTGTTACAGTACTTTGTACTGTAGTATGTTTCTGATAGGATAGCATCAGCGGCCAATAGAAACGAGTTCTGCATTTGATTATTGTTTACAAGATGCAGTCTAAAAATTGAACAAATCAATCGATGCGTTTAGGTTTACAGCACAAATCCACCCGAATCAGTGAACACAGCCTCTCAGCATCACAATGGGGGAGAGAGGGAGGTGGGGGATGGAAGCGTGGGTATCAGGGGTGGAATTTGAACCTATTGACGGATCTGCAGTGTTCTAGCCTCTTGGAGCAGCCTTGCTCTCCCTCTCCATCCCCAGCAGGGTTATCTAACACAGAGATAGTGCGTCCCCATTGTTTTCAGGCTGTTGGCATCACTCCAGGGGATCCTCGAACCGAGAGTGCAGACTACAATCTGACGCAAGACAATTAGTGGGTGTCTCCGCCACCCTTGTCCTCTGTGCACCTCCCTCCCCTCCCACCATTCTCTCCCCTCTCCATAGTTAGTGATAATTCCATCCGTGATGAGACCCTTCTCGCACACCCGAGGACCCTGCCTGTCTGGTGTGAAACAAAACAGAGACGCTCACACACACAGTTCCATAGCCATGACAAATAAGGAGTGGCGCTGCTCAGCAAACACGGTAAGGTCATTCTTCTCATAGTTAACACACAGGAGAAACACACACAACATTGAACCCACTGCATTCACATTAATCCTTTGACTTGTTCACACACAAGGCTGTGTAGAGCTCTAAAGAGATTTGGTCATCGCAGGGCTATGGCCATATTGAGGTTAAAATCCAAAGCCATGGATACATCTAGTAAATGTAGTGTTTCCTCCATTTCTGTGACTGGTCTGTTTGAGCTATCTTGCCAACTCCTATGGCACAAACAGATCTGGGACCAGGCTAGTTTAAACAAAGGGTAACAACAATGTTTGTGTAACTCAGAGTGAGTTGGCAATGTCAACGACCCAACAAACCAGAACAACCTATGGGAGCCATGCCATATGGTGAGGATGATGAACTATTCACAAAACATTCAAGGGCACTTCTCACATTGACACACATACTGGGCACATTCTAGATAGACACATTCTAAGGCCTGCGTAGAATATCAGGTCTTTACCACAGCACTATGATATAATGATCTTGTAAACTGTGCAAGCTTGCACATAATATGGTTATCTGGAACGCACCCAATGACACAACTACTGTAGTTCGTCTGTGTAACTGACTGTTTCTGCTGTTAGAAACACTACATTGTTGGCTTGGCAAGACAACGACCAGTTAGCGTAAATCAGAAATAGCCTGACAAAATACAATACAATCAAACAGTATATTCCAAAATAGAAAACATTCACAAACAAACAGAGACCATGTTGAAGTTTTAACTTTGATTTAATAACACACGTATGTTGCATTCATTCATAAATACCCAAACATTTTATATTTGTGTGGCTGAAAATTAAACACTACAGAAGGCTAAAGTACTGTACATGGAACACTTTTCACAGCCGATGGGAAAATAAACATTTTGATAACAGGCAATAAAAAAGGGGAACTCCACCTGTCAAAATGGAGCAAAGGCAAATAATCAAAATACTTCCTTTTCAGAGCACATTCACCTTTCTGGATTGAATAGTAGGATACTAGTCAATGGGATTTTCTGTTATTGTCATATTCTAAAGCTTTATACATCCATTAAAGTCATTGAGCCATCCAATCCGACTGGTTTCAGTTTAATTCTGGCACAAGCTTCACTTATTGATCAATCAATGTCAATGATTGGCCAGAGAGAATATACACAGACTGTGATTAAAGGTCATGAAAATCAAGAGACATTTTGGCCCTCCAGGACATATGCTGTGCACCCGACACACTAGGATATGCTAGGACATACTCATCATATGCACAGTGAAACAAACAGAACAGAATGTCATCACAAGTCACAGCATCTCATGAGTCATATCCTGCATCCCAATTCTCAACCCTTTTCACTCTAGTATGCACTCCCCAACATGGATTTAAAAGCATAGGATTGGTGTAATAACCCATGCTTTCACTAGCCCTCCGCTGTTTAATCTATGTGGGGTATTTCCTTGAATCACTTCAAGGAAAAGGGTGGAGAATTTGGGCATAGAACAAATTCATCTTTGGCTCTCAGAGCAGGCGACCAGTATTTCCTGGCCGAGTCATGTGATCAGGAAAAACACATCGCCCCATCTCACACACACACACCATCACATGGTCACCATCCCATGGTCCTGACTGCTGTATCTATAGCAGTGGTGGTGACTGCCTTAGAGCAGATATGTGACCCTAGGCTGTGAATGAGGAGCAGCAGCTCTCTGAAGGAACTCAAGTCTGTCCAGTTTTCCAATGCCTCGCAAAGAGGTTGGGAACGTGTTTACTGGCCTCATAAATGCTAGTCAGCAAGCTAATATTTAGAAGAAATAAAAAAACGTGTTTGGCTAGAGTTATGCTAACTTGTTTGCAATCCCTTTAGCGTTGATGGCTAGCTTCTTGACTAACTAGAGGTTAGCTGGCTACTTGGCTACAGTAGTAGCTACAGACATCAGTTGTTGTTGTATTATCATATTCTGCCTATTCCACCATTTATAGAATGCATACTGGCATTTGAATATAGCACGGGAACGGACACAATGTGGACATGGTGGACAAATTTAAATGTAAACGGATGAGGTGTTCGGAATTCCATGATCAGAACTCCATTATCAGAATACAAAAGCTGCATGAACTGTCATGTCTAGACACGGGCTTAGAGACTTACCCAGAAAGAGACTCACAGCTGTAATTGCTGCCAAAGGTTATTTGAACATGTTTTGACTCAGGGGTATGAATACTTATGTAAATTAGATATTTCTGTATTTATTTTTCAATAAACTTGCAAAAATGTCTAAAAACATGTTTTCACTTTGTCATTATGGGGTATTGTGTACATGGGTGAGAAGAAAAAAAAATAAAGCAATTTAATCCATTTTGAATTCCGGCTGTAACAACAAAATGTGGAATAAGTCAAGGGTATGTACACTTTCTGAAGGCACTGTATTTCAGTGATAATGCCCGAGAAGCCAGTGTTTGGAGGATATATTGGCACATAATCAGAACTCCATTATCATTCTAAATGTTCCATTGCCATACTGGCTGGCAACGTTCTTATCCCTTGCTTGCTAGCTAGCCAACTACGGCTAGACTTACAGTTACATCAAAAAGTGCAGCCAGAATAACAGCAAAGTAGCTGCATTTGCATAAGCTGTTTTTTAGTTACATTTATTTGGAGACATCCATAACAATAAGCTAATGAGGCGCGATTTCGCCTGGCATAGAAAATGTGCTCACACTTGTCAGGACACTGTTGTTCAGAGGAGCTAGCCAACAACACAGCTAAAACAATCACTTCAAATTGAAGCTGGAAAGAGTGCAAACTAACTGCACTTCGTTTCGTTTGACCTTTTTTCAATGTACATTTCTTTGTATATATCCATAAAAAGGATGCCAGCTGATTCATGATTTCGACTTGCTGAGAAACGCTGCCTGCCTGTCTGTCTCCTCCCGACACGTTCATTACTATGTGACAGCTGGAGATCGAATTTGAATATCGAATATTTGAAACAATGTTGCAAATGTCGGTGAGACAGACAGCAAGGTTAATACAAATCTCCGCTGTTGAAAACTAAATGTTAGTCTAAAATAAAATGTTAGATAATGTCTAGATGCTTTTAATAGTGGAGATCAAGCTTATAAAGTGCCTGGCTGGGCTGATGAGACAGTGGATTGCGCAGTCAGATGGAACAGAGTAAATAGGCATTTTAACGTCATAGATTTAGCCGGTGGTAACTTGTGGAATAGACTCCGGCTGGAATGTGATTTTAACCAATCAGCATTCAGGATTAGACCCACCCGTTGTATAAATCTGGATATGACTACAGAAGTGAATAATCTCAAACAATTAGATGGTAACTTTGCAAGTAAAGTTGTGAGGCTTGCTAAAGCTCTTTAAAAGTATTTTTGTAGTAATGGAAGAAGTTTCCAAAGTTTTACTTTACCATTTAAAGTAAAGAAGTTACAGTTCAGTTATAAAAATAAAATTAATTGGTCTGATTACTTTGATAGACTACTATATCAACCTTATTATTTTTTCGATTGTGGGGCAGTTGTATCACAAAAATACTACAAAATAAAAGACATAATACAAAGCGATCTTCTGTCAGAAGATGTGAATAAAAGGCAGGATAATGTTGACAACACTCTTAGGAAAGTGAAGCAACTGAATAATTCATGCTTTGGGTTTCAGAAAATAGATGCACAATTTTAGAAAATAAGAATTTAGGCACTTTAAAACAATCATCTTTATCCATTGTGCTTCATGTACAAGGTTTGATCTCCAGCCTTAAACATTTAACCCAGGCAAGACAAGTAAACAATAATGGGATGTTCTATAATACTGACAATTGGGTAGCTACTCATCTGTCTGTACGTGTGTGTAAACCATGTGGCAGAAGACTGAGGGGGAGAATGCTATCAGAGGAGAGAGAAAGAGGAGACAGAGAGCAGAGATGGTGACAGGGAATGCTAACAAAAGAAAGAGAGAATGCCACAGTGGATAGACAGAGAGAGAAAATGTTAGGAGGGTCTTACATCTATAATGACATTACAGTCAACGGACCCATGCAGGGAGATGTGACCTGGTGCAGCGTGTCTAGTTTGTGTGTGTGTGCACGTGGTGTGTGTATGTCTGCACTGTGTGTGTGTGTGCGATATGCCTTGGGTTGGGCCTATCCCAACCCCACTAAGGGCATAACAGAGTTATCCCAAATTCAATTACAGGAGCTTGAAGACAGTGAGTCACCTCTACTCTACAGGGAAGTTTGGTAGGAATGTACTAGGTTGTACTGAAGAAAGAGACTAGAGAGAAGGACAGGGGAGAGACTGGAGAGAGGGCTAAGAAGAGAATGGAAAGAGAAGAGAGAATGCAGAGAGGATTTTAAGAAGTAGGAAGTGATATTCATCTACACCTAGAAGAAAATTGACATACTTTTTTACTGAAGAGCTGTATATCTCTTGAATAAATGTGTTTCACCATAGCTTTTTCCACTGCTGCTGGAAAAGGTGTCACTATGTCAATGTTATGGTCAAACAGACACGGTTTAGTAGAATGTAGTTTAAGTTTTGAGCGTGACTGTTGACTGACTTTATGAGTAACATAAACTAAATGCAGAAGTCACGTACCAGAGATTAAACCTTTACCCCCTAAAGCCCAGGGTTAAAAATATTCTAAACAAATAAACATTCAACAAAAGAGGTTTGTGGATCAGGGTCCGATAACTGTATCACAATGACTGACAAAGAGCTTTCGATTATCGTTCGTTTTAAAGTACAGTAGAACACCTGGGACGATTTGACAGATCCGGGTTGTGTACAGTAGGCACGAAATAGAAGATCATATTTTGAAGCACAGGAGGCACTACCTGAACATGACAATGTTCATTGTAGTGTTAACATTTTGATGACAAAATAAAAAAAAAGAGGGTAGTTAATGGGTTTCTACCATATTACAGACAAGAATGGTAGCTGTGTGACATGCACATATAATCAATATATACTGAGTATACCAATCATTAGGAACACCTTCCTAATATTGAGTTGCACTCCCCCCTTTGCCCTCAGAACAGCCTCAATTTGACGGGGCATGGACTCTAGATGGTGTCGAAAGCGTTCCACAGTGATGCTGGCCCATGTTGACTCCAATGCTTCCCACAGTTGTGTCAAGTTGGCTGGATGTCCTTTGGGTGGTGGACCATTCTTGATACACACAAGAAACTGTTGAGAGTGAAAAACCCAGCAGCATTGCAGTTCTTGACACAAACCGGTGCGCCTGGCACCTACTACTATACCCTGTTCAAAGGCACTTACATTTTTTGTCTTGCCCATTAACCCTCAGAATAGCACACATTCTCAAGGCTTAAAAATCTTTCTTTAACCCGTCTCCTCACCTTCATCTACACTGATTGAAGTGGATTAGACGAGTGACATCAATAAGGGATCATAGCTTTCACCTGGTCAGTCTCTCATGGAAAGTGCAGGTGTCCTTAATGTTTTGTATACTCAGTGTATATTTAAGCAATAAGGCACGAGGGGGTGTGGTATATGGCCAACATACCATGGCTAAGGGCTGTTCTTCTGCACGACGCAACACGGAGTGCCTGGATACAGCCCTTAGCCGTGGTATATTGGCCATATACCACAAACCCCAGAGGTGCCTAATTGCTATCATAAACTGGTTATCAACGTAATTAGAGTAGTACAAATAAATGTTTTGTCATACCCGTGGTATACCACGGCTGTCAGCCAATCAGCATTCAGGGCTCGAACCACCCAGTTTATAATAGGCTATTAATGTTCTTTCGATTAAGTGTATCAAATGCAAGGCAACTCTTAGTTAGCATTCTACTCTGTGTGCATTCCTGATCACACAATACTTAAATAACACCACGTATATATACACATTTTAAAATACAAAAGGAAGAGAGGTATGTACAATGGTAGGATTTAGTAGTCATTTAATAACCTGGAATAACTTTAAAGTGATATTTTGTTCGGAATGTAAGCTGTCAGCTATGGCCATTCATCTGCCTATGATTGACAACAGCACATAAACTAATATAAAGCCTGCCTAAAAGGAGGACATTTTGTTTTGTTGGCCGACTTAGTTGTTCAGGCACAGCCCTGCTCCAGTGTAGAGGAAGCACTGAAGAGATGCTAGTTTAATGCTGATCAATAGCAGATTAAACCAATTTCAATCTAACAACCCACTACCACACATCAATCAACAGAAATGTAAATACTGGTATTAATAGTTCTTCAGTTATTTTTCCTCATATGATTTGGCTGTTAAAAGGTTTTCGTAGCTAACTGCACATCAAGTAGAGTAACATGAAGATATCTCCCCAACCTAGTAAGGCTGGGAATGTCCATAGAGCTCTTCTTTTCTGTACAGAGCAGAGAGACAGTGTGTGTGTGTGTTTATGGTATAGCAGGATAAGGTTTGACAGGTTGTGGGAGAGTCAGACGGGGGTTTTGTGGTGAGAGTCAAGTGTGTGTGTGTGTGTTCTCAGACGGGGTAAGGAGGTGAGGTCACCCTGCCCCCGGGAACAGTCCTGTGTTTAGAAGTGTTGTGTTGATCCAAGATGGCCACCGTGTTGCTGATGACATCATGATTGTGTTGCTGAGCTAAGCCTCTGCTAGACTCGGTGGTAGCCCTGGGCAGTCCTTTAGCCTGGCGAGGGGGCGTGGGAGGGGGGAACGAGGGCGACTGGAGGATGTCAGCATACCGTTGGTTGGGCCTGGTCTCTCTCTGTAGAACTCTACTGAGCAACGGCTTCAACAACCCAATGGTCAACTGGCTGGACTGGGGATCAGCAATGGTAGAGGAGGATGGGGAGGAAGAGAAGGGAGGGACATTTGAGGAGGAGGATGATGAGGGTATATTTTTCAGCACCATGTTGAGTATGGCCGTGACTGTGAGCTCTTCAGGACACAGAGCCCATAGGAGGTCTAGGTATGGATCCAAGTCTCGATGCTGGGCCACCTCATACAGTAATGTGGTAAAGATATCCTTGTTCAGTAAGGGACTCTGCCTGCAGAACCTCTGGGCCACTTCGGTGACCCTCTCCCACTGCCGTCTCCCCATCAAGATTCTCAGAGCCTGGAGGACCGCGTTGGGTCTACCACTCACCAGGAGAAGATCCACCTCCAAGTCCTGGTTTTGTTCATAATCTGGGTCTTGTTTCAGGTCTGATCCGGGGCCGGGCAGAGGCAGAGCCGACAGGGCGCGTTTATACAGGGGCAGGCTCTCTCCGTTCTCAGCTGATCCCCTACCTCCAGAGTATCTCCAGGTGGAGCCACCCAAGCCTAGACCCATCCCCAAGCTCGCCGAGGTCTGCTGCTTCTCGGCTAGCTCCAGGAACCTGGGCAGCCAGCTGGGCTGGAAGCGGAAGACGGAGTGGCACAGGAGCTCGAAGACGGGCATGGCCGAGTTAGCGGCAGTCGGGCTGGAGTTGGAGCTAAGGCTGGGGCTAGGTTTCAAACTAGGGCTGGTGCTGGAGCAAGGTTTGGGTGACTTGTGTTTAGGCTGGCTGTTGCCATTGGTGTAGGGCAGGTTTGCGGGGACAGTATTGGCCTGTACGGGGCTGAGGACAGTCTTCCAGACCTCTGGGGGTGCTTTAGAGGACAGAGAGCCCTCTCCGTTGCAATGTAGCTGCAGAGCGCTCTGCGTGGCCCTCCAGGCCTGACCGGGGAACAGGCTGAAGATGGAGTTGAGGTAGCGTAGAGAGTCTCGGTCGAGCTCTGACGACAAGAGGAGTCTCCCCACCTCCTGCTGCACTAGACTCTCACACACATCCTCCACCTCCCCCTCCTTCCCCCTCACCAATCCCCCCTTTACCTCCTCTAGAGAGACCAGCCCCTTCAGTTCAGCCTCCAGGGACCCCAGCAGCTTCTCCTGCCCTCCCCCGCCTCCCCCTGCACCGCTCTGGGATAATTCCACTCCCCTCTGTTCCCCGCTCTGGAGGTAGTCTCTGACGATGTTGGCCAGAGAGATAGGAGCCTGGAACATCCCTCCTCTCTTTAACTTCTCCACAGTAAGCTGAGTGCTGCTGAGACTTCTCTGTTGGTAATACTTACAGGCCTCCTCGAACACTACCTCTACCAGTAGAGCTGCGGGGCTGATGCTCTCCCCCGTACCCAGGGACGGGGCCTTCTGCTCGGGGTCGGAGTCGTGGCCCTGGGGGTCCCCCTCCCGGAGCATCACCACAAACAGGCCGGTCTCTGACAGCAGTTGTGGTGCCTGCTTCTCGGTCCCGTAGAGCAGCCCCTCTCTCTTCAGGGCTATCTTCTCCAGCTCTACGCCACACGTAGTGTCAATCAGGTAGAGGGTCCGTCCGATGGTCAGAGCCAGGGTGTCCTGGTACACGTTCAGGCTGTTATGGGCACCGCTGCTGGCCAGGCAGTTGTCAGCTAGTTTGTAGATCTGTCGTAACACCCCATCCTTCTGTAGTAGACTGACCCAGCCTGTGCTGAGCAGTAGTAACAGGCCTCCACTGCCAGTAGGGGAGTAGCCATAGATTTTTGGGGGGTTAAGGGCTGATAGGTACCCCATGCAGTCTGTTACCAATCTCTTAAAGTCGGATTCTTTAGTAGAGGGAGAGTGTTTTCGAAGGAGAGTACCTTTACAGGTGCTGCTCACTCTGAATGTGTCATGCTGGGGGGACCACGTGAGAAAGAATTTGGAGAGGGCCATGGTGGATTTGTCTTTCAAATCAGGTAGCAGGTAAACATTCTCACCTGAGCTGATGACGTTGTAGCGGGGGTTGTTGTGCAGAGCGATTTTCACGCCATCTAAACTGACAGCTGTTTCCCCCACCTCATAGGTCCGTTTGCAGATGCAGTACCTGAAGTTGTTGGTCGCGTTGACAGGTGAGGAGCTCTCTGATAGAGGCCTCTCCTCACACCAGAAGATGTAGTTCGGACTGGCCGAGACAGAGATGACTTTAGCCCGGGGACTGTTGCAGAGGTCCGCAGTGTGCAGGAGATGCCATCCCCCTTTGAGTTCCAGAAATTTCCAAAACTCTGCTTTTCCATTCTCGAATATGACAGCTAGCACAGCAACACCCCCTTCTCTGTTGTTGTCGTCGTCAAAATACACAATATCCACAATGGGCACAGTCCGAGTCAGCCCCAAATCTAGGTGCTTTTGGCTCTGGATCAGCTGCGGTCTCTGATATTTGTCAAAAGTCATGAGACCAGCCTTGGGTTTGCGGAGAATGACATGAATGTGTCGTCCATCTGGACTCACGCGCACATCTGACAGATTACTTTTGCAACTACTGTTATTTGAATAAATCTGTTTTAGATACTCGTTTAAATCCGTACCTCTAGTAAAGTCTCCGAAATCTGCCACTTGTTCCAACACTCGCATCATGTCTACAGAGCTTGGTAGATGGGCAGAGAAGGTCTTCGATCAGTAGCTAGCACAAATCTTAACTCACTCAGTCATGATGCTTGCTGGATCCCTTAAACTCGTAGCAATCCATGTTTGCGGTTAAATCACCCGATTTTCGTCTGCTTTACTAATCACATTTCTGTCAATGAAAATGTCTCTAACTATGTAGTTATCGACATTTCAAAAACAGTTGAAATCTTATCCGTAAAACAAGTTAGCAAGCTAGTTATCTGGATGCTTAGCTACCTCCTGACATCACGAGTTTATTAATTTCCGGATACAAGATTTGTTTTCTTAAAGGGGAGGAGTGGAGAGTTACCACAGCCACAAATGGCTATTTCTAAAATATTTTTTAAAATCAGATTTTAAACCTAACCTTGACACCAACATTAACCACACTGCTAACCTTATGCCTAAACCTAGTCTTAAATTAAGACCAAAAAGCACATTTTTGTTTTCATGAATTTTTACGATACAGCCTTTGTGGCTGTGGTAACTAGTGAAAACAAGGATAAAGACGTATCAGAAAGAATGCATCACAACAATACTAGCTAGAGAGAAAACGTAACAGTCTCTATTTTTCCATCTTCAGCTTGACTTCGCTTGTGAAATGATTTGGCAGGAGTCAGGATAACTAAATAATCGCAAATTAGTGCCATACAACACTTACAAAGTTACTCCTAACATTTTTTTCGAAAAACGTTCATGAAAATGATGTGACTGAATGACGAAATCGCTGAAGTTTACTATACTTTGTTCTTATGGTACTTTCAAGACAACAACAAAAAAAACAAGGTCAAAACATGACGTCAGTGATCTTCAGGTCAGAAAGACTGAGCTCTAGAAAGATGTCAGTTTCCACTTCAGGGCTGCCAACTTTCAAAGATTCTATAGCTTGGAGTGAGATTTCCTACCCTGAATGTCATTGGCTCCACCCTAAGATGGGGGTACTGGGGGTCCACCCCTACGAAAAATAAAATGTTTTAAAGCTAATTTCCTGCAATTTTCATATTGCTAAGGCCTTTGACCAGGATGGAATGAAAATGTTTAAAAATCACAGATCGGTGTATTCAGGATTCTTTTAGTTGAATACACACTCAAAATGCGACGACTTGGTTTGAAGTTACTTTGAGATTATTTGGGCATGACATTTAGAGTATGCTAACTGGGGGACATTGAATTACATTGGTCAGAAAATGCTAAAATTAATGGTTGGTGGCAGTGGCTAACCATCTGATGGATTGCAGTATCTCCTTGTTCATAAGAAACAAACATGTAAATATGTAATTCATTTGGGTGACCTAGTATATCCCTTTAAAATATGAACTAGAAAATCCTGCCTAGAGGTAGCTCCCCAAGAAGGTTAAGCACCCCTGATGTTCATGATTCCTACAAATTACTCCTCATTCAATAAAAATCTAATGAATATCAATCTTCACGTGGCTGAGGCGAGGCTGAGTTGCAAAACCTTTCCATCGTCTTACTCTACATCAGTGTTTCTCAACTCCAATCCTCCAGGACCCCCAACAATACACATTTTTGTTGTAGCCCCAGACAAACTCACCTGATTCATCTAATTGAGGGCTTGAGGATTAGTTGACAAGTTGAATCAGGTGTGCTTTTCCGGGGCTACAACAAAAATAGTTGGGGGTACTCAATGACTGGAATTGGGAAACACTGCTCTACGCCGGCAACATCTTTTGCATTTATGCCTAACCATTTCTGCACAATACTAAAACAACAAAACAAGATATTTGAGGCAAGGGGCATTTCAATATGACCTATTCTCATTTTATGACAGCCTATATTCAACACTGTCCATAAATGTTTACATAAATGCATAGACACAAGTTGGCATATCAGATTTCAAATAGCCTAATTACACCAGCAAAACTGGTAAGAAGTTAAATAATAAAAGTCTGGGGAATAACAGTAGTGTTCTTGCCAAATAAATTAGACAGATATAACCTCCTGAAGACAAGATGACATAGCCTAAATCTGCCCATCCACCCAACACAAATTACTGTAACTTTCAATGTATTGTCCTCCCACTAGAAACAGTTACACATTTGGGTTCACAAACTGTTTTGGCAAAATAATGTTCATGATACCATTAGAAAAATCAGGTCACCCTACAAAAATTCCTTCTGAATTCTTCCTTTTCGATGTTACAGCCTAATGAACCTAGTGAATTGACAATGACCAAGCAAGGTGAATATGTAGCCTATATGCCGCATTCATGGGCTAGTCAGAACTAGAAAACTAGGACATTTCCGACATGCTAACTGTTTTTACACGTGCCGCATTCAACGAATCAGCAAGTTGGATATTTCATAGTTTCCTAGTTCCGACTAGCATATGAACATGGCAATAGATCTGAGCTCATGCAAGTAGTAGTAGCCTAGGCTAAATTGTCACATGCTGTCAAAAGGAAGCATTCTGTGACAGGACAGAAGTGACAGCAAATTAATTTGTTGACAGTTATGTGTACAAAACAGCGCTACAAGTTGCCATGCTGCTTTTTTGACAATTGACTTTATGAACTTTGTTCAGCAGAGAACGAACATGCCTGTCCGGGCACAGGTAAGTCTCTAAGAGCTTTTCACATCTGGATTGTGCAACATTGCCCATTATTATTTTCAAAATTCTTCAAGCTCTGTCAATTTGGTTGTTGATTATTGCTAGGCAACGATTCTCAGGTCTTGCCATAGATTTTCAAGTAGATTTAAGTCAAAACTGTAACTCGGCCACTCAGGAACATTCACTGTCTTCTTGATAAGCAACTCCAGTGTAGATTTGGCCATGTGTTTTAGGTTATTGTCCTGCTGAAAGGTGAATTCATCTCCCAGTGTCTGGTGGAAAGCAGACAACCAGGTTTTCTTCTAGGATATTGCCTATGCATAGCTGATATGGCTTAACGATTACAAGCATACACATGATGCAGCCACCACTATGCTTGAAAATATGGAGAGTGGTACTCAGTAATGTGTTGTTTTGGATTTGTCCCAAACATAACACTTTGTATTCAGGACCAAAAGTTAATTGCTTTGCCACATTTTTTGCAGTATTACTTTAGTGCCTTGATGCAAACAGGATGCATGTTTTGGAATATTTTTATTCTGTACAGAGTTCCTTCTTTTCACTCTGTCAGTTAGGTTAATATTGTGGAGTAACTACAATGTTGTTTATCCATCCTCAATTTTCTTCTATCACAGCCATTAAACTCTGTAACTATTTTAAAGTCTCCATTGGCCTCTTGGTGAAATCCCTGAGCGGTTTCCTTCCTCTCTGGCAACTGAGATAGGAAGGACGCCTGTATCTTTGTAGTGACTGGGTGTATTGATACAACATCCAAAGTTTAATTAATAACTTCACCATGATCTAAGGGATATTCAATGTCTGCTTTAAAACATGTTTTACCCATCTACCAATTGGTTCCCTTCTTTGCGAGGCATTGGAAAATCTCCCTGATCTTTGTCGTTGAATCTGTGTTTGAAATTCACTGCTCGACTGAGGGACCTTACAAGTGGCGATTTTAGCATGTAAATCTTGGTGGGGCAATCTCAAAAAAAGCTTTCTCTTCAGCACCATGGAGTGAATCCTTACCACTGCTACACCTGGCTATCAGCAGAGCATTGTCCTGGCAGCGAAACAGTTCATTCAGCCTCATTTACTGCCTTTAAAAAAAACATAGCTGATATGGCTGACTTGCTTAAACAAATGTAGTTTCTACTGACAATTGAGATGTACAAACTATGGCATAAGGGGACAACGAGTTGATAAGAGGCAATCCGTAATTTCAATTAAGACATTAATGAGTGTGCTACGACGGACGTAGTCAATATAACTATTTATTCAGCACATTTGAAATGGACAGTGACATAATTCAGAACATGGGTCATTCTTACAGTATTCTCTATATACACCAAGTCAGAACCGTAGGATAAATAAAGGGGTCATATAAGCAGACAATGAAAGCTCTTACAATATTCAATGATTACATTTCTCTAAAACAGGCTATAGGCTACATGTGCACCATCAAGTCAGAACAGTAGGCTAAGTTATAAGGGGGAAAGGGACCAAATGATTAGGGAGAGGCACATGGGCTACTAACAGCTTACTACACAACATACACTTAGTATTACTTTCTTAGCTACAGTATACATATCTCCCTGGCATATTACATAATTTATGCAGCAGCATACAATACATTTTTGGACTTACCTTGTTGTGCTGTGCTCACTTGAACAGAAAGGTGGTGCGGCGGTCCTTGTCGGCAAAATTTGTCATCAAATCATGAAGTCAGTGATCTTCAGGTCGGAGCTCTAGAAAGAGGCCCGAGTTCCCGACTTGGAATTCTGAGTTGGATGACCGTTCAAAACGTATTTTCCTAGTCGGAGCTCATGCTGGATTGACAGCATGGCCAATGTATTCAAACTTTTCTGTCCCGTGATGTTGAATGTTTATCCTTTTAAGCTTGGAAAAGAGACAGAGTCAATGTGCGGGGGTACAGGTTAGTTGAGGTAATTGAGGTAATATGTACATGTAGGTAGGGGTAAAGTGACTATGCATAGATAATTAACAACGAGTAGCAGCAGCGTAAAAAAAAAAGGGGGGGGGGGGGGGTCAATGCAAATAGTCTGGGTAGCCATTTGATTAGCTGTTCAGCAATCGTTTGGCATGGGGGTAGAAGCTGTTAAGAAGACTTTTGGACCTAGACTTGGTCTATGATCATATTTTTTTGTCTTGATCACATTGAGGGAGAGGTTGTTATCCTGGCACCACACTGCCAGGTC